GCCTCCCCCTGCGGGCCAACCCCTCGCCTCCTCTCAAAGCCTCGTCATGATGCCCGGGGCACCCGGAGGGCTCGGTGGGCTCCAGCCAAGTTCCCCCGAGTTGGCCCTCTGCCCCGAGTCCCCTGAGGGTGGCCCCTGTTGCTGTCCCTGCCTCAGAGCCTGCTGGGAACCCGCCCCCTGGCCCCAGAGCTGCGGCCTCCCCTCCCCTCCCCCGGAGATGCCTGAGTGGCAAACCCGGGAGGCACCAGATGGCCCTGAAGCCTCATTATCCTGGCGGGGAGCAGGGAGGATGTGCCTTCCCGGAGCTGGAGCTGGAGCTGTGCTGGGGGTACGCGGTCCCCCAGGCCTGAGCGCCCCTCTCTCTGGGGGACACTTTGGGCTTGTCGGCCACTGCCCCATTTTTCTGGGAAGATCATGAACTCCTGCTGGGGGCTACCAGCCACCCTCCCATCCGGCCGCAGGTTTGGGACAGGGGAGTCTGTCCCTGAGATTTCCGAGTTGAAAATAAGAGGAGAGGCAGCCCTCTGGGGCAGCAAAGCTGCGAGGCGGGAAGCCAGGAGCAGCCCCCAGCGAGCAGTGGGTCTGGGCTCGGAGAGTGGGAGGCTCCAGTGCAGCGAGAGGGAGGGAAGGAGAAAAGGGGGGAGGGGCCTGGACCCAGTTGTACCTGAAGCTGATCCATCCCTGCCCACCGCACAGTTCAGAGCCTGGAGCCAAGAAATCTCACTTTGGTCCAAGCCGATTCCTGCAGGCCTGGGGTCCCTTGCCGTGAGGAATACTGGGGAGTGGTCAGTCCACGCCCTGGGCGGAGGGACGCGGAGACCCACTGTGTCTCTTTATCCCCGGTTCCGGGACCGAGCATTAAGCACTGGGGTGGGGTGGACGGTGCTCCTGACCTGCTGGTTCGGGTTCAGCCAGACCAGGGCCCCTTGCTCGGCTTGTGCTACAGCCCGGTTTCCATTCTTCCCGCCACACGGTGAACCCCAACAGGAAGACCGGCCCCTCTTCGTACGTGTTCTCTCTTCTAAAACAAGGGTGCTACCAGCGTCTCTCAGAGAGTCCACACCACGGGCTGCCCTGCTCCTTCGGCCGCCGTTTCCCGGCGGCCGGCCAGGTGCCCCGCGCAGCCAGGCCCCGTGGGCGCCTCACCTGTGCTCAGCGGAGGCGCAGGAGGAGCCTCCCCGGGGCGGAGGGACACCCGGAGGGCAGCCGGCGGATCTGGCGGGCTCTGGGCCGCCAACCGGAGCACAGCTCGGAGCCTGGCTCGGCCTTACACCAGGTATCGGACCTGCGGCGCACTAGGGGCCGGTGGTGCTGGGTGCTGGTTACCTGGGCTTGCTGGAGCTCTGCCTTCCTGGCTGCTGTTTCCTGGAAGCCTGCAAGAACCCTAACCCTAACCCTAACCCTAACCACCACCACCACCACAGTGCCCCCCCCGCCCCCCGTCATTCCCTGGGCCCTCCAGTCTCTTCCAATCCCCCTACCTCCCCAAGCAGCACCCCCAAGCCTTGCCTGGGGGCTCTTGTGGACCTGACTTGGTCTTTCTATTGGAGAAGGCCGTCTGTGGACCTGCGTGTGTGAACTCTGCCCCCTCCCCTTTTGGAAGACCAGGCCTCCCCTCCCCACCCATCGGGGTGCTCTGCCCGGGAGTCCAGTCTCTGGACATCCGCAGGCTTGCTGCTGGCTGTGCCGGGCCTGAGTGAGGGGCGGCAGGGGGGGGGGAGGGCGTTGCTTGGAGGTCTGTGGGGACAGGGCGCTGGGTCCCCGGCGGGGCGCGCAGTGCAGGGCCAGGGCCTCGGGTCCGCGCGGCGGCCTCAGTGCGGTGGGCTGGGCTGGGCGGTGGGCTGGGTCGCTGCGGGCTGTGCCGGGCGGTAACCCTTCGTGCGGCTCCCTCCCGTGTGCCTGGGCCCTGGCCAGATCGGGGTAAGGACACCTCTCCTCTGGGTGCTGCAGAGCCCGTCCCCCCTCCCCAATGCGCTGTCTCCGGCGCAGCGGGAGCTGGAAAACCTGGCAGCGGGCGGAGAGCCCGGCCGGGTCCCGCTGAGCTCAGAGCTCTGGCTCAGCACCCACGCTCCGGGCCGCGGGGGTCTGGAGAAGGTGGGGTGCGGGCTCCCCAGCCCCTCGGCTGCCGGTCCCCTCCGTGCCTCGGTCGGCGCTCCCAACAAAGAGGCGGCCACGTGCCCCTCCGCGGGGCCGCCCTGGAGCCGGGCCCGCGCAGCCCCAGCCCGCGCTCCGGTCGGTCGGGGCGGGACCCACGCGCGGCGCGGCCCCCGGTGCGAGCCCCGCAGCCCCCGCGGCCCCGCCGCCCCCGCGCGGCCTCGCCCACTCGCACCGCGGCGGCTGCAAGGCGGGGAGGCGGCGCTAGGGGGAGCTCTGCAGCCGGCTTGGCGGACCGAACCCGCGCCTCCAGCGGCGCTGCCTTAGCGGGGAGCGTGGGGCGCGGGGGGACACACGCCCCCACCCCGGAAGCTCCCGGCTCTCCCCGTGGGGCCGAGGAAACAGCCCGTGCGCGTGTGCGTGTGTGTGTGAAGGCAGCGACCCTCCTTCCTGTAACTCACGCCTCCAGAGCTTCCCTCTCCTCCCACCCCCGTCGCGGCCCTCGGCGGCCCCCCGCGCGCGGAGTGTCCCCGAGAACTTCGCCTCGCGCTCCCCCGGGACCCAGAGCCGAGGGGGCCCCCAGGGCCGGCTTGCTCCTGCCTCTCGGGGTCCGGGCTGGGGGCTCGGAGCAGCCTCTCCTCTCCCCGCGGGAGGCGTGCAGGCCGGGGCGGGGCGGGGGCGGCGCTGGGGGGTGGCTGGTACGGGCGAGTGGGGCGCAGGGGCGACACTGAGCGCGAGAGCATTGGGGAGACAGCGCGCCGAGCCCGGGAGAGCCAGTCCACGGCCGGCCAGCAGCCACTGGCTTTTCCCTTCCTCCTCCCTTCCTCATCTTTCTCTGCCACCCCCGCCTGCCAAGCTGGAGCACCCCGCGCCCCCGGCCGGCCGCGCCTCCAGATGTGGATCTGGTTCCCGCGGGGAGCGCGCGGCTCCGGGCCCCGGCGCATTCCGCCTCTCTGAGGTCATCCTGGTGGTCAGCGGGGAGCGCGCGGCTTCCTGCTCCGTCCGCGGGGAGGCGGGGAGGGAGGAGGGAGAGGGGAGGGGCGCCGGGAGGGAGGGAGCCGCCGCCAGCACACCACCAAGTGGCACGGAGCAGTGATAACAAACTCAACTTAAAAAAAAAGGGAAAAAAAAAAAAAAAAAGAAAACGAAAAAACTTCCCCAAGTTGCAGCCTAGACGTGCGACTTGCGACGTGCGGACGGAGGGGGCGTGGCCCGAGCCCTCCCCCGCCTCCCCGCCTCCCCCGCCGCGGGGAGAGCTCAGACCGAGGCCAGCCAGGCCTGGTCCCTGGCGCGGCAGGAAGTGTGCGGGAGGCCGGCTGGGCTTCCTGCAGGAGACCCTGGGACGGCCGGGTTTTATTTTTTATTTTGGGGGGAGGGCAGTCTCTTTTGGGGAGGAGGCCCCTTACCCCGGAGGCCCGCAGCACTGGCTTCATCCCCAACAACCAGCCTCCCCACTCCCGGCCCTGCGGACGCTGGCAGATCCCGGTCCGTCTAGAGCCAGGAGAGCTGGGAGCGTCCCCCTCTCCCCCCGCCGCCCCCTCAATTCTCCCCACCTCCAGGCCGACCTGAAAACAAGGCACCGCCATCCTCTATAATCGGCTTTTTATTAAGGTTATAAATTTGAACAGTCTGAACAGTTTTACCCGGTGATGTACAATTTCAGTATGCACAAACATACAGGGGCGGAGGGGGCAGGCCGGGGAAGGAAGGGTTGGCAGCTGGTTTGGGGGTTCACATGTGGCTGTGGCTGCAGGCGCCCACCTCTTCACAAGAGGCTTTACATGAAACAAGGTCCATCGAGCTGGAGACACAGGACGGGGCGACCACAGGCTGGAACAATGCTGGTTTCAAGAAATGCAGCCGAAGGGCTGAGCCAGGACCGTGCAACTTAGAAGCACGCGCGCGCGCACACACACACACACACACACACACACACACACACACACACACACACACACACACACACACAAACACACACGTCTGATCAGGAACTTGGTGAAGTCTCCGGCCCCTCCCTCTCCCTCCCTCCCGGCCGCCGGGATCCAGGTGAAGGCATCGACTTCCTTTTTTGTTTGGCGAGGACCGCAGTGCTGGGCATGATGGGAAATGTAGTCCGAGGTGCCCGCCCCCCACCCCGTCCCCAAACAGCGTCCGAGAGTGTCGGGGTGTCCGGCGCCACCCCCGAGTCCAGGAGGCGAGTGGAGGAGGGAAGAGAACGGAGCCAGAGGGGCGGGGAGAGGAGGGGTTCGAGACACCCGCCGGGAAGAAAAGGGGAAAAAAAAAAGTTGAAGTGTTTTCATTTCTGCCTTCTCATTTCGCGAACTTTGGAGGCCGCCCCCGGAGAGGAAATGTGACCCACACGTCCCTCTCGGAGATAGGGTTTGCCTTTGTTTTTGCTGAGGATTTCACAAGACCCGGTCCTCACCCCGCGGAGGGACTCGGCAGAACCCAGTGCCGGGCTTTCCGGGTCTGACAACGGATCGGGACCAGCGTCCGGGCCCCGCGCCCTCCAGCGCTGCGCCCCCCGCGCCCGGCCTCGCCCCCGGCCGCCCCGCGCCTCCGCCGGGCAGCGGCCCTCCCTCACGTGGCTGGCTCCTGGCTAAACACCACTGCAATCTCTACAATAAAAAGAGAAGAAAAAAAACCCACAAAAAACAGTAGGAGAAACACAAAGCATACTTAAGTAGGCGCTTTTCCTCTGCAAAAATAAAGTCCAAGGTCTTAAGATTTCTTTTTTTTTTTATTTTACAATTTATAAAACATTCGCCGCCTTCCCCTGCGTGTCCCCGGGCTCAGCCCCGAGTGGCCGGGCACCCGTTCCTTCCCTCCTCTCCTCGCCCCCTCGGCCGAGTCTTTGTCTGGCCCCAGCCCCGCGGGCCCCCGGGCCCCCGCGCCCTCGGGGGTCCCTAGAAGGCGACAATGGCTCGCGTCCAGGCGCCGAGGCTGGCGAGCGCCTGCTTGGCGCACAGCTGCCCGTTGAGCGGCGGCGGCTGCTGCTCCGAGGAGTCCGGCTGCCGGCTCACCAGCCCCGAGAAGCCCGAGCCAAAGATGGAGATCAAGTTTGAGATGTTGGACGCGTCCGGGGACGAGTCCGGGCAAAAGTCCTCGAAGCGGGCGCGCTTGCAGGGGGCGAACAGGGCGCCCCCGGGGGGCTCGGCCGCCAGGTCGCCCGCGTCCTCGCCGTCCTCCTCCTCCTCCTCCGGGCCGGGGTAGTACTTGCGCTTGCAGCCGGCGGCGGCGGCCAGGCCGGGTCCCGGCGCGCCCTGGCCGCAGCAGGGGCAGTGGGCGGAGGCGCAGCAGTCCTGGTGCAGGTAGCCGTTCTCCACCGTGGTCACCACGTGAGTGTCCAGGTCCAGCACGGTGGTCTGGCTGCTGCAGTGCCCGCCGAAGTCCGAGGGGGCCGGGTACGCGCTCCGGTAGAAGCCGGGGGAGGAGGCGGGGGCCGGGGAGGCGGGCGGGGAGGCGGCGGCGGCGGCGGCAGCCGGAGGGGCGGCCCCTGGGGGCGCGGAGCAGGCGGCCGAGGCGCGAGGGTCCCGCGGGCAGAGCGCGGCGGGCGCGGGCGGAGGCGGAGGCGGAGGCGCGGGGCTCGGCTGCAGCGGCTCCAAGGGCTGCCCGCGGTGGGGCGCGCCGTGCGGCGGCGGCTGGAGCGCGGCGCCACCGGGCAGCTCCGAGAGCGCCCCCGCGCCGCCCGCGGGCACCCCGGCCGCCGCCGCGCAGCCCCTGGGCGCCGGGTGCTGGTGCTGGTGCTGGTGCAGCTGCTGCTGGAGGTGCAGCTGGTGGAGCTGGTGGAGCTGGTGCAGCTGGTGCCGGGCGGCCGGCTCGCGCGCCTCCGCGTCCCCGCCGCCGCCACCAAGTTGGAGAGGGCCGAAGTCGGCCGCGCTGGCCGGCATGCCGGGCGCCGCGTACGGGAGGTGCTGGTGCTGGTGCTGGTGGTGAGGCGGCTGCTGCTGCTGCTGGTGGTGCTGCTGCTGCTGGCGCCGGTAGAGCTCGGCGTAGCGCTCGCTCAGGTAGAGCTGGCGCGCGTTGCGGAGCACGTAGGACACCAGGAGGTTCTTGTGCAGCTTGATGCCGCCGCGCTGGGTCCGGGAGCTGTGAATCTTGCGCAGGGAGATGCTGATCAGGCTCTGGGCGTCCAGGGCGCACTCCATGCTCCCGCGGAGACGGCTGCGGCGGAGCAGCCGCGGCCGCTGCTGCTGCTCCGAATGCTGCCGCTGCTCCGGCCTCCAGCCGGCCGCCGGCGCGCACTGGGCACGGGAGACGGAGCCCGGAGCTGCGGGTCGGCTGCGCTCCGAGAGGAGCTGCCACCGCGCGCGGCGCGCCAACCGCAGGACCGTGCTCCCCGGACGGCGCCAAAGCAATGAGCCTCGGCCGGCCCGGCCCCAGCTATTTAGCCGGGCGTCCGGACTCCGCCCCGTACCCGGCTAGCCAATAGAAGCGCCCGAAGCCTCCCGAGTGACAGGCGCGGCCCGCCCCGGGGCCTCCGGGCCGGCCAATCAGACCAAGGCGGTTCCTTTGTGCTATTCAAATACCGAACAGACCCGGGGCTTCCAACGCCGCCGCTGCCTCGAATGTTCTCCTGGGGCCGCGGCGCGGCGCGGGGCTCGGAGGCGCTGGGGCCGCGGTCGGCGGCGCGGGCCCCCGCTCAGCGGCCGCGGCGGAGCCCGGGGCGCCCCTCGGCACAGCTGCTCGGAGCCGGGGTGAGCTCATCGGCGGCCCCCTCCCCCACCCCACCCCGCAGGCCCGGCCTCACCTGCGGCAGGTGCGCCGCTCCCCGCCCCCGGCCAGACCGCGCTCCTGTTCTCACCCCGCCGCCCCCGGGGGGCCCGCGAGCCCGGGGCCTTTGCAGGAAGGAGCCCAGGGTGGTGGTGGTGGTGGTGGCGGGGGGGGGGGGGGCAGCCGGCCTGACCTTGAGGGACCCTCGTGGGAGGAAGGCTGGGAGGCACCCAACAATCTCACATGTTGGGCCTGACTCCTCGGCTTTTTTTTTTTTTTTTTTTTTTTTTTTTGCCGAGGAACCACAGGGAAAAACAAACCCTCGCGCATTTGGTCTCCTCTGGCGCAGGAGGCTCTGAGTCATGCCCCCTGATTGCCGGGCCTTGCCACCTGCTGGGGTCCAGAGCGCAGGGAGAGACGCCGAGCCCTAACCCGGGCTCTGTAACCTTCCTCCTCACTGACAGTGACCACAGGGCGCTGACTGCTTCCCTGGGAGGGGCAGGCCCTGGCCAGAGGCGCCCTGCCCCCTCCCTGTCACAGCCTGCAGGGCGGGACCGGGTCTGGGGGTGGCCCCGCTGGGAAGGGGCAGAGCGGGTCCTGCCGGGACTGTGAGCTCCAGGCAGGAGCCCGGCACTGAGGGCTGGAACTTGACAACTTGGCTGTTGTTGACATTTTTCCTTCTTGTCCTGAACCATTTGTGGGCCCCCTCCTCCCAGCTGGGGACTGAGATATCGGGCAGGGGGACAGGATTATGATCTCTGGGCTCTCTAAACTGGGGGGCTGCTCTGGGAGGGGGGTCTCCTTGAAGTGGTCAGGAGGCTTGCTGGAGGAGGGGTCCTGGAGTTGGCACTTTAAAAGAGAAAGGGCCTCACAGACTGAGCCCAGGGCGGGCCCTGTGGGGGCCGGGGTGGGGCAGAGCGAGCTTCCTGCTGTGCGGCCCTCTCCTCGGGGTTTACCCTTCCTCGGGGTTCACCCTCTCCTCGGGGTTTCTTCTGTGGCTCCTTTTTCCTCAGGCTGCCCATCCTGTGTCTCTGTGTCTCTCTTCTGTCTTCTTTTTAAATCATGTTCTTACTGATTTTTTTAGAGAAGGGGGAGGGAGGGAGAGAAACATTGACTGATTGCCTCTTATATCGGCCCTGACCGGGGATTGAACCCAAAACCTAGGTATGTGCCCTGATGGAACTTGAACTTGAGATCTTTTTTTGGTGCACGGGGGCGGGGGAGATGGGGTGAGGATGCTCCAACCCACTGAGCCACCTGGCCAGAATTCTCCAGATTTATTTCCTCAAACTCTTCTGTAGCATCTACTCAGCGCCAGGAGCAAGGGTTTCCACAAAGTCAGAGAGCACGGACTCCATTTTCCAGACGAGGAACCGGCTGGCAGCTGGCAGCTGGAGGGACTTGCCCACGGTCCCACAGCCCCAGGCCCGGCGCTCTGGCCTTGCCATGCTGCCGGGACAATCGCAAACGGGCCCGAGCCCCTGTGACCAGCAGCATCCCTGCCCCACGCCACCAGAGGAGCCAGGATGGACTGTTTTTCCAGGATTGATATTTTAAGGGGACCACAGGGCATCTGAATCCCGTGATGGTGCAGATCTGGTGACAGGGACACAGGCGTGGTGTAGGAACAAAAATATGTTGCCCCTCGCTTCCCTGGTGCCAGTGTGAGAGGCACACAAAGGCTGCATGGACTTGTTTTTGAAGCTCACTTTTGAGACGTCGCTGTTACTCGGAGGGAAGCAGGCGGCCCTAGCCGGCTTTCCAGCAACGAGCACTCTGCATGCGGCAGGCAAGTCTGTGACCCATGTGTCTGGCTCATTGCAAGAGCCCGGGAACGTATTATTATTATTTAAATATTTGTATTGATTTCAGAGAGGAAGGGAGAGGGAGAGAGATAGAAACATCAATGATGAGAGAGAACCACTGATTGTCTGCCTTCTGCACGCCCCCGATTGGGATCGAGCCTGCAGCCCGGGCATGAGCCCTGACAGGAAAGGAACCGCCACCTCCTGGTTCAGAGGTCGGCACCCAACCACTGAGCCCGCCGGCTGGACTGGGTGAACGCATTGTTAATGCTGACCGAGGCCTCCATTCTGTCCTTGCCCAGGACTTCCTGCGGGAAACTCAGACTTAGAGTCTAGTTTACACAGCCTAGGAGGGGTGGAGACAGGGTTTGAACTCAGATCTGTCACCACGTTCCTCAGAATCAGCCACGTCGGTGAATCCGAGTTGTCAGTTCTCTGGGCTCAGCTCATGGTGAACATGACCTTGATTTGATGGACACCCCACTACTTTCCTGCCAACTGCTCAGAGACCAGGGCCTGCAGGGAGGAGTCCAGAGGACGCCAATATCCGTCCCAGCCTCCGCTCCTCACTCCCAGCCTCCTCAGGGCTACCCCTGTGCCCCTGGGACTCAGGTGGGGAATCAGGCCAGGGATGGAGGTGGATTCTCTCGCTGTGGGCGGGTGTGTGTGTGTGTGTGTGTGTGTGTGTGTGTGTGTGACAGGGAGCCAGGCCTTGGCACTGCCCAGACCACTGGCTGCACTTCTGTCCCAAGGTGAGTTGAGCTTTGCTAAGGCTCCTCCCCTCCCTGGGGTCAGTTCACAGTGGGTCCCCCCGTGGGCAGGACCCCATTCCCATCCTCTGGGCCTTCTTTCTGGGGCCCATGCTTACGTGGTCTCCCCTCCTCAAGAATCAAGAGGCGGCCTGGTGGGGAGGGCTGACAGTTGATCTCCTTTGGGGGCGGCCTGGAGGGGCGTCTGCAGCTGTTGGGAGACACTTGCTGAAGGAGCCAGGACAGCTGAGCTCACGGTGCCCCGGGGCCGCGAGGCTGGGGGCACAGGAGGAATTCGCACGTGTTTACGGAATGGGAGGGTCGCACGCGAGCCTCTGATTGATTGCGTGTGGCTCCGAGCAGGACGCCACGGCAGGTGTGCCCGTGTGTGGACGAGGTCCGTGTGCACGGGGAGAGGGGGAGCAAGTCTGAAGGAGACACGAGCTCTCGGGGTGCAGGGCTGGCGTAGCTGTCCGGGCGCTCACTCTCCCCTGCAGCTGGGAGGTGTCTCCGGCCTGAGTCAGAGCCCCAGGCGTGAATTCTTGCCCAAATATCAATGCGTCTGTTGGGACAAACCCCAGGTGGTGTCAGCACTGCCGTTGACACTTCCAACGTGGCACCTGTGCCTGTGGCACCTTCTGGGCACCTAGCCTGGGGGAGGGAGTCTGGGCTCGGAAGGTTCTGAGCTTCTAGGAAGTGGTTTGGGGAAGAGGAGGCAGAGGCAGAAAGCTTAAGGAAGGGTGCAGTGCTGGGGCCAGGAGGTTGGGGGAGGATTTGGAATTCGCGGTTTCATTTGTTTGGCCATGGGCCCAAGAGATATTTCCGGAACCTTCCTCTGGAATCCCTGCAGATGGGAGAAGGAGCGAGATGTGAGCCTGTCCTCAGGAGGCCGCAGGCAGAGGAAGACCAGCAGACCAGGCGACCGGAAGGAGTGGGGGGTGGGGGAGGCAGGGGCGGGATCCAGGGCTGGCCTGGGGTCCGACGGGGGAGGGGGGGCTGCCAGCAGAGAGAAGAGCGAGTTGTCAGCACAGGCACACAGTAGGCACTCAGTATTTGTGGGACAAACCCGTCCGTGGGAAGTGAGGGTGCAGAAGACACTGTTAGACTTGTGAAGGCCCTAGAGGCCAAGCGCCCCCCCCAACGTCCAGATGGGTAAACTGAGGCCCTGAGAGGAGGTGGGAGGCCCTGAGGATGTTGGCCCCTGGAGCTGGGTCTGGAACCAGACGGCCCACCTCCTGGTTCAGCCTCTGGCTGCCCCGCTCTGTCTGTGGTTCGGAGTTGGGGACCGTGGTCCTCGGCAGAGGGGGGATAGGGTGCGAAAGGATGCCAGTGGGTGTGGCTGCCCACAGGGGTCACGGTGCTTGGGTGTTGGGCAGCCCGCCCTGTGGCCGGTGGGCACTGGGGCAGCCCAGCTCCTGCCCCCCCACCTGCGCCCTCACCGTCCCAGCTGGAGCTTAACGGCCGCCAGTGTCTGCTCGCCCAGCACGTCCCGGGCAGCAGGCCCAGTGCCAGGACAGACAGCGGGGCCCTGGGTCCGAGTTCCTTATGGGCAGTGAGGAGGTTGTGAGCTGCGTGGCCTGTGCCCGATGCTGGGCCACAGGCCTCCCGGGGGCTCCTGAGCCCCACGCCAACCTGGGAGGCACGTTAGGTTGTAATTCCCATGTTAGGGTTGAAGCACCTGAGGCAGAGAGAACTTCAGGGATTGCCTGGGTCACATGTGACTCCAGCCCTGGCTGGTGTGGCTCAGTGGATGGAAGGGTCCCAGGTTCGATCCCAGTTAAGGGCACATGCCCGGGTTGTGGCTCAGTCTCCAGTAGGGGGTGTGCAGGAGGCAGCCGATCAATGATTCTCATCACTGATGTTCCTCTCTCTCTCTCCCCC